TACGAGGCCCTGCTGCTGGACGAGGAGCGCGGCCGTCTCTTTGTGGGCGCCCAGAACCACCTCCTGTCTTTGGCCCTGGATGACATCAGCCGGCGGGATAGGAAGGTAACAGGGCCGGGGGGACATGCTGGTGGGGCAGTGCCCATGCACCAAGTGCTGTGAGCATCCCCTTTTCCACTTGCAGATCTACTGGCCGGCTCCCGTGGAGTGGAGGGAAGAATGCAACTGGGCCGGCAAGGACATCACTGTGAGCGATGGGGCGTCTTGTGGGATGGCAGGACTGTGCCAGGGCCCTGCCCCAGCACTACCTTATCCTTCATTCCCTCCATCCCCAGGCTGAGTGCATGAACTTTGTGAAGATCCTGCACCCCTACAACCGGACCCACCTGTATGCCTGTGGCACTGGTGCCTTCCACCCAGTCTGTGCCTTCGTCGAGGCTGGCCAGCATGCAGAAGTGAGCTTCCCCTGGCACCACCACAGCCCCCAGCTGCTGCCACCTGCCCATCTCCCATCCTTACCCCTCTCCAGGAGCCTGTTTTCAAGCTGGACCCGCGCCACACTGAGGATGGCAAGGGGAAGAGCCCGTATGACCCCCGGCATACAGCCGCCTCTGTCCTTGTGGGTAAGAGCATTCTGAGCCTGCTACTGGGTGCAGCGTGGCACAGGGGTGCCGGGGGGTCCCCTATAACGCTTCCCTCGGTGCCTGCCAGGCGAGGAGCTCTACTCTGGGGTGGCCACCGATCTGATGGGCCGTGACTTTACCATCTTCCGCAGCCTGGGCCGACGTCCCTCCATCCGCACGGAGCAGCATGACTCTCGCTGGCTCAATGGTCAGTGCTGGGGACTGGGAGGGTGGGGGGTGGGGGGTGAGGGGGACCACTGGCATCCTGGCACAGCAGTGCTGCTGCCTGGAGGTATCAGGGCAATGATTCCCTCAGGCTCAGATGTACATTGTCCTTCACTGCCTCCAGAGGATGATTTCAGGGGTTTCTGTGTCCCCACCAATGTCTGGAGGGAATCCCATCCTCACTCTGCCTCTGCTCTGCAGCTGGGCAGGGTTGGTTCTGCACCCTCCCCTGGGACCCCAACAGTCCCTGGGGAGCAGAGTTAGTGGAAGCACCACCCCTCTCTGTCCCCAGAGCCCAAGTTCGTGGCCGTTTTTTGGGTGCCAGAGAGTGAGGACCCCGACGATGACAAGATCTACTTCTTCTTCCGTGAGACGGCAGTTGAACGGCAGCAGGGGCTGGGCAAGACCAGCTTCGCCCGTATCGGCCAAATCTGCCGGGTGAGAGCATCCACGGGCAGGTGGGCTGGGGGTCGGGGTGCCCAGGGGTGCCACCTGCTGCTGCTGCTGACACCGGTGTCCTCCTTTCCCTGGCAGAATGACATGGGCGGGCAGCGCAGCCTGGTGAACAAGTGGACGACATTCCTGAAGGCTCGGCTCGTCTGCGCCGTGCCAGGCCCTGACGGGGCAGACACCCACTTTGATGAGCTCCGTGAGTAAACGGGGATGCGACCCCACCAGTGTAGCTGTGGGCAACACTGGCGGCACTGACGCCTTCCGTGCTTGCAGGGGATGTTTTCCTGTTGCAGACAAGAGACAAACGCAACCCTCTGGTCTATGCCATCTTCTCCACTTCCAGGTCAAGCCCCCTCCCCAGTGCCCTGCACATACCCAGTGGTGCCCCCCTTGCCTCCTCACATCTTTGCCCTCTCTCTCCCACCAGCTCTGTTTTCCAAGGCTCAGCTGTCTGTGTCTACACCATGGCTGACATCCGCCGGGCTTTCCTGGGCCCCTTTGCACACAAGGAAGGTCCCAACTACCAGTGGGTGTCATACCAGGGGCGTGTGCCGTACCCCCGCCCAGGCATGGTACGTAGTGTGGGGCTGTCCTGGCTGGTGCCACCAGTGGGATGCTACTGCCTGGGGTTGGGGCAGTGGGGTGTGAGACCCTGCTTAGCCACTGCTGTTTCCCTGCAGTGCCCCAGCAAAACCTTCGGCACCTTCGGCTCCACCAAGGACTTCCCAGATGAGGTGATCCAGTTTGCCCGTCACCACCCGCTGATGTATAACCCTGTCTTGCCCCATGGCCAGCGTCCCCTCTTCCTGCAAACCACCGTGCCCTACACTTTCACCCGCATCGCTGTGGACCGTGTTACCGCTGCTGATGGCCAGTACGATGTCCTCTTCATTGGCACAGGCATGTAGTGACCCCACGGATGGGGCAGTGAGGGAAAGCAGGGGGATGCTGGGGCTGGGACCTGTGGCCTCACCCCTTCCTGCCTGCAGATGTAGGCACAGTGCTGAAGGTGGTCTCAGTGCCCAAGGAGAACTGGCACCGCATGGAGCCGCTGCTGCTGGAGGAGCTGCAGGTGTTCCAGGTGAGGGTCAGGGTTCTGCATCCCACCAGTCAGACTTCCCAGCAGCACCCCCATGTGCTGTCCATGCTCTGGGTTGTGCCAGGGCACTCCAGCTGCCAGGCTGTGGAGCCAGGAGGCTGCATACCAGGGTTCCCCCATGTGCCTTTAACTCCTGCCCATGCTCTGCCCACAGGATGCCTCCCCCATCACCAGCCTGCAGCTCTCCTCCAAGCGGGTAAGGGGGGGATCTCTGGGCATTCCCATGTCCACCGTGGCTCTGCCTAGCCCTGTGCCACAGCACGGGAGTGCTCAGCTCTGCTCTTTCCCCAGCATCAGCTCTATGCTGGCTCAGCCACAGCGCTGGCCCAGCTGCCCCTGCACCGCTGCGGAGCCTACGGCAAAGCCTGTGCCGAGTGCTGCCTGGCCCGGGACCCATACTGCGCCTGGGATGGCAACACCTGCACCCGCTACGTGCCCAACACCAAGAGGTAGGTGCCGTGCCAGGGTGCAGTGCTGGGGCAGGCAGCCTGCCCCGAGGCCATGGTGAGGAGCACAGATGACGCTGCTGCAGCCCCTGCTTCTCCCTCACCTTCCCTCAGGCGTTTCCGCCGGCAGGACGTCCGCAATGGGGACCCCAACGTGCTTTGCTCTGAAGGTGAGCTGGGACTCAGCTAGAGTCTGGGGGCCAACCCTGCCATGGTGGGGGGCTGAAAGCCAGGCTGTGTCCCGCAGATCCCAGGCGGGACACCGTCCCCCAGAAGCAACTCTACGGGGTGGAGGGAAGCACCGTCTTTCTGGAGTGCATCCCCAAATCCCTGCAAGCCCACATCCTCTGGACACACCAGCGCACCCCGAATGATCCCCAGCGTGAGGTAGGCTCTCCCTGGGCAGGTAGTGCCGGTGGGACTGTGCCGTGCCATGCCGAGCTGACCGCCCATCCCCACGGCTGCTGCAGGTGCGGATGGACGAGCGGGTGGTGCGGACGGAGCGGGGTGTCCTGCTGCGCAGCGTGCAGCGCGCCGACGCCGGCCTCTACCTCTGCCACGCCACCGAGCACGGCTTCACCCAGCCCCTGCTGCGGCTCTCCCTCGAGGTGATCGGCGCCTGGCAGGCCACGGGCGTGGCATCTGCCGGAGACCCCCAGCTCGCCGCCGGCATCCCCGGCCGCAAGGTCTGGTACCGGGACTTCCTCCAGCTGGTGGAGCGCCCGCCGCTGGCAGCCACGGACAAGGTCTGCCAGAGGCTGTGGAGCCGGGGAAGATCCCCTGCACCGCCCCGCGCTCCCGCCGGGCCCCCCGGCCGCGGGCAGGGCGAGGAGGCGCGCAGAGCCCGCCGGCGGCGCACCCACGAGGGGCCGCGGGCCGAGCGGGGCCCCCGCAGCGCATCCCCCTGGTGACCCGGGGGTCGGCCCCGGGCGCCGGGCTCTGCCTAGGAGCGGGGCCGCAGGTGGGGCACAGCCTCGGCCGCTCTGCCGGCAGCACTGCGGGGGCACTGGCGGGGGGCTGAGGCTCCGGGGCCGCAGGAGGGCAGCCGGGCTGAGCAGCCCCCCGAGGGGCTGCCGACTGCCCTTGCCACCGGCTCCAACACCGGTGGGGACCCAGCCGGCTGCCGGCATCGCAGAGTCACCGAAATATTTATTAACGACTGTTACGATGAATGTAAACCTGCAGGGCCAGGCAGTGCCCCCACCCCAGCGTGGCACTGCGGGAGGACGGCACGGCAGGGTCACTCTCGGGTCCCAAAAGGGCTACAGGCAGGAGTGGGAGCACGGAGGGGCAGGACAGGCACTGGTGGGACCAGGGGCCCAGCAGGAGGAGGGGGGCACAAAGGGGCACAAAGGGGTGGGAGCATAAAGATGGCACCCACCGCCCTGGGTGTAGAAAAGTGGCACAGGGGACCTTGTACTAATTGAGCACAATAAAGCAGATTCAGCCACCCAAGGTCGTGCATCTGATCCAAAGCCCCAGGAAGCACTCGGGGGGAAGCCCGGTGCCACACCACACTGGCATCCCAAGCCTAGAGGGGTGGGATGTTCAGCAACACTAGAGGGCTGAGGGGAGACAAGACTTGCAGGGACATTGCCAAGGTTGATGGGTTTCCCCCAGGCTTCCAGCTCCCCGTGCTTTCAGCTCCACTTTGATTTCTGGAAGATGAAAACCAAACTTCCCCAGTGGCAACAGGCAGCAGTTGAGGCAGTGACCGAAGGTGACCTTGGAGTCTGCTGCCTCCTGCTGTCTCCGCTGGCATCAGGACCCTTGGTGGCACTGGCCACATCCCACGGCCTCTCGTGACACCATGCTACCAGCACAAACCATGTCCCACCACTTGCTGCACCCCAGCCTGGACACTTGAGCCCCCAGCACAAGCAGAGGCAGGCAGTGGTGTAGGCAGGAGCAGGCAGAGAAAGGAGCTGTTTTTTTTCTCCTGAGGTCCAGCTGGCAGCAGGCTGGCATCCCTGACCCCACCAAGCACCCTGGGCTCAAGGAGCACTACTTCACTGCACCTCTATGTCCCTGTGCCATCCCAGCAGCTTGTGGCATTGAGGTCCCCCCTCATTCCAAAGGCTTGGTGACCCAAACTCCTTTGACCACCCCACGTGACACCTGTCGCTGTCCCCAACAAAGCAAGCAGCACAAGGATCTACAACGTATTTATTTCCAGCATGACAGGAGGGCACACAGGGGCATGGGCTGGTGCTGAGGGAAATGCTCAGGAGTGCAAGCAGGCAGGGAACTAGGGGAGCTGGGGGTCTGCACCCCCCCGGAGCCGCAGGAGCATGAAGATGGTGCTCATGGGCTTGATGTCGTAGTGCGCCAGCGTGTGCTGGTCCTCCAGCTCCCTGGAGCCGTAGGTCAGGCGCTGCTCTTTGGCAGAAGGCCCTTGCCGGGCCTGGATCTGCTCCTTCAGCTGTCGGACCGTATCAGTGGGCAGCACCGTGTAGGTAGTGGTTCGATTCTTATCATCCTTGACCAAGACCTGCATCTTCTGGGGCTCAGTCTGCAGCAGCACCAGCGTGGTGTTGTAGAAGATGCCGTGTGTGGCCAGGGTATCGCAGTCCTGTAGGATGATGCTGCTTCTGCCTGACTCCTGCTGTGCCAGCCGCTGTGTGTATGTCGGGATGCCCCAATTCTGCTGGATCATCTCCTTCAGCTGCCTGATGGTGGTATAGGGGCTGACACACCTTGTCAGTTTGATGCCTGACAGCTGCACCACCTCGATGGTCACGGGCCGGGCTGGCTGCAGAGACAGGAGAGCGAATGGGCAAAGACAGCAGGGGTAGGGCTGGGGGACTGTGATGCTCACAGGCTCAGGCAGCCTTACCTGCACATTCCAGGGCTGGACATTTGCAAGGCAGGGCAGTGAGTAGCAGTAGCTGGCAGCTGCCTCTGCCATCACGTCCCAGTTCTTGTCTTGGCCCAGGATCCCCGTGGGGTCAGCAGGGTCCAGGATGACAGGGCTGCAAGCACAGAGTGGGCATTGCTGTCAGTCCCTGGCAGTACCAGGGGGCCAGCAGGGACTACCCTACTGGGCACGGTCCTCACCGGGATCTGCGTAGCAACCCCTTGACATGGGCACCAATCTCTCTGTGCTGGAGCGAGTAGTACTTCTCCCAGTAGATGCAGATCTCCCGGTGCCGGCACAGCAGTTCCAGCACTGTGCGGAAGCCCTGAGCTGTGTCAAAGTAGTCACAGGATTCTGTGCCTTCCTCCCAGGCATAGATGGTCAGCAGCTCCAGGGCATATTTAGGGGGCAGGTCCACATTGGGGTACTGTGGATTCAGCAGCTGGAGAGAAGACAGAGATGGGGGTGAGAGCTGGCTGGGATGGGTGTCTATTGGGAACTGGGAAAGCTGGGCAGCCCCTCACCTCCTTGTACCAGTGCTTGACCAGGCGCAGGAGGTTCTTCAGCTTGGCAGGGCAACGTTTCACAAACATCTTCTGCAGCTCAGTGAAGCAGGGGGAAAACTCCCCGGGGTGTCTGGAGGCATACAGGAGCCTCACATACACTTCTGGATTTGGTGGGGCATCCTGGGTCACCTGCCCTGTGGAGTGAAAAGGAGGGTGAGAGCCATCCCATCACTGACACCACTGCCTGTCCCTGTGCCAGCCTGCAGCCCTTACCCAAAGCATCATAGGCAGGCAGGATATCCATATCAGTGGACTCTTCCTCTGTCTCCTTGGAGGACAGAGTAAGGCTGAGGGAGCGCGGCATGTTGTCAGGACCCTTGTACCTGGGCTCACTGATGAACACATCAAACCACAAGCTCTCCCTGCAGGCCTTCAGCCTTTCCTTGATCAAATCCAGGATATCCTTTCGGTTCATTTTCTGATCCTCATAGCTGAGGAAGCAGCTGAGGAAGAGCACCACATCAGCATCAGAGTTTTTCTTCAGAGCTGTACCCTTTCCTGTTGATCCACCCTGCAGAGAGAGACCCTGCCTGCTCAGCACCACTTGGTTGCCACCACTCCTGTAGCTGCCAAGGGAAACTGAGGCAGGGCAGGAGATGGAGCATGGGACAGTGTAAAGGGTGGCAGCAGGGGTGGCAGCTGGCCCCCAAGCCAGGCAGCACTCACCTTGACGGTCTTTTGGACGCGGATTTTACCCCCAAAGCAGGTCGTCTTCAGGAATTCACATATTCGCCCCACTGTGTCCTTCACCTGCTTGGAGAAAGCTGTGCTGGGCTGCAGGGTGTCCATGATCCAGCTATCCAGGTTCTTGGTGGTTACTGTTCTCAGTCCATCCCCGGATAGCACCTGGCTCCATTCCATGCTGACAGGTGTGTCTCTTCCTTTTCTGACTTGCTGCTTCCTACGTCTATCCCTGCCTGCAGCTCCCTCCTCCCACAGCCTGCTCCCGTCTGCAGCAGCTTTTAAACCTTCCCGGGCCACCGCCCCGATGCGTCACCGCTGGGAACTTAAGGTGGTTCCAGGTGGTTCCCACGAGATCCCCCGGGTGTCTCTGGTGCCACCACTGCGGGGGCTGGGAGGGGGCAGGAGTGGCTGCGCGTCACCCTGGCATCCAGCTGGGATGGTGGTGGCAGACAGGCAGCTGGCCAGGCTCTGGGGTGCTGTGGGACCTCATGGCCCCGGTGCTTTCGGTGACACAGGGTCTCTCGCTGGTGCCCAGCCGGACAAAGGCAGAGCCCCACCGCAGGCACCAGTCCCCTGCTGGGGGCTCAAGTGTCCGGGCTGGGGCACAGGCGGTGCTGGGACACCTGGGACATGCTGTGCCATGGTGTCATCACGGGCAATGGGATGTGGCCAGTGCCACCAACTACCTTGGTGTCACCACGGGCAATGGGATGAGGCTGTCACCAGTGTCAGCAGATGCCCTGGCATCACTGTAGGCAGTGAGATGCAGACATAACCAGTTTCACCGTGGGTCCTGGTGTCAACACCGTCAGTGGGACACAGCTGATGCCAGCCCAGCATCACCTGGGAGGCTGGTGCCCTCCCTTGCCGTGCGATGCAGCCGGTGCCAGCATCACCAGAGCCCTCGGTGCCCCTTGCTCCCGGGAGCAGGAGGCAGCGGGTAGGATCCGTAGCGTGTTGAGGTCCGTGCTACCTTAAGATGGGAAAATGAGAGTTTCAGTTTCTGTTTCGGACGCAAGTTCAGTTTCTGGCTCTGCCGAGCTGGAAACGAAACTGCAAAGGATCGATCCCGCGACTGCCCTCCTGGCCCAAATAAAGTGGGAAGAGCCAAATAACAGAAACTCACACTCGGGAACTCGGCGCAGGGCCAGGAGGATGGGCTGGGGCTGTGGGCAGAAGGGGAGTGTGCTCCTGGGAGCAGGGGCTGGCAAGAATGGGAAGAGGAAGAGGATAGGGAATAGGGACAGGAGGAAAAAGGGGCAGGAGACAGGCAGGGGCTGGGGAGAGGGAGGAAGAGAGGGAGGGACAGGGATAGGGACAAGGATGGGGCAGGCAAAGATCAGCAGCAGGGGCAGGGATACGAGTAGGAGTGAGATAGGGTCCATTTGGGGTCAGGGACAGAGATACAGACTGGGCAGAGGAGACATGGTCAGGGACAGGGATATAGTCAGGAGCAGGGACAAGGACAGGAGTAGAGATAGTGGATATTAGGGAAAAGTTTTTTATGGAAAGGGTGATAAAGTACTGGAATCATCTGCCTGGGGAGGTGGTGGAGTTAGGGTTAGGTTAAACACATCCCTGGATGTGTTTAAGAAAAGACTGGATGTGGCACTCAGTGCCATGGTTTAGTTGAGGTGTTAGGGCATGGGTTGGACTCGATGATCTTAGACATCTCTTTCAACCCAGTGATTTTGTGATTGTCAGCAGCAGCAGCAAATGGCCAGGTCAAGGATGCAGGCAGGAGCAGGGGTGGGTAGGTGTCCCCTTGGTGCTGGGTGACAACAAGGCAGGGGTACAGGCAGAGCCAGGGATATTAGGAGAGGCAGGGAGAGGAGCAGCACTGGGGACAGGGTTAGAGGCAGGGGCAGAGCTGTAGGCAGGGACAGGTGTCATGAGCATTTCACACCTGGCCGGTGCAGCCTGAGGAGCAAGACCAGGACACAAAGATGAGCATGACAAGAGACATTCTTTATTCACACCTGGGGGTTGTCCCAGCCAAATCGAGGCATATGTGGTTCACATGTGGCTCTTGTACCGTTCAAGTGTCAGGGTACAGGAAGGCTCCACCAATTCCCTGCTGTCCCCATGGCTTTGTAAAGCCAGTGCAATTATTTTGCTTTGGCATCCTTCTCTCCTCGTTCTGGAGTCGGTTTCACTGCCTCAAGGGGTACTTATCTGTGAGGCCAGATGATAGGAGGGTCTCAGGGAGGTGTTGGAGGGCCCAGGCTGCAGGCCTTATCTGCCTGCCTCCCCAACCACAGCTATGCAGTGTACAGTGTAACAGGGATAGATCTTAGTAAAGGCCAAATAATTTCATACTAGAAAGGCTAGTTGATACTTTACTTAGGGAATGAGATTTTCCTAATGAGATGCAGGCAGGGGCAGGGACAGAAGAAGGGATATGGGCAGGGATAGTGAGTGGCCAGGGATGAAGATGGAGCCAGGAAACAGACAGGGGCAGGGAGAGGGGCAGGGAGAGGGGCAGGGATATGCAGAAAATCACATTAGGAAAAGCCAGTATCCATAAATGAGACAGAGGAGTCCTGCAACTTTATTCAAACAAAGGAAGAGACTCCACTGGTCCATACCTCCATAGAGTTTCTCTCCCGACTTTTGGACGACGCAGCCTCCTTTTATCCTAACTCCTGGCCACACGTTGCCCTCTTCCTTTCCCCATTGCCTGAGGTACTAGGAAGGTACAGCCTTCCCGAACCGCCTATCACATGTTCTGCCCTTCAACATGTCATTTTCCCCTGAAGTTCAGAAGTTCAGGCTATCTGAGTTCTGCAATAGACTTTGTGCCCACTCATTTGTCTATTGCCTTAAAGTTCAGGAATTCAAACTGTAGTCAAAATGTCTGGGCTCTGTACCAAACGTGTGGTTTGAGGTTAGTAGAGACATAAAGACTCATTTCAAAGACATGAACCCTCATTTCTCCTAAAGACCCTCACCCGTCGAATTGTTTGTAAATACATCAGTACACATCTTTCCTATCAGGGATGAAGATAGCGTCAGGACAGGGAGAGAGGCAGAGATACGGGCAGGGATACTGAGGGACCGGGGGTGAAAATAGCGCCTGGATAAGGAGAAGTGCAGAGAGAGGGTCGGAGAAACGGGCAGGGAGACCGGCAAGAAAAGGGACGGTGACAGGGACGGGGACAGGGACTCAGGCGAGTCCCACGGCGCATGCGCAGAGTGCGGGGGCGCTCTCGGGGGCGCACCAGGGGAGGGGCGGGGCTCCCGGAGGGGCGGGGCGCGGGG